CTGGCCACCTCGGCAGCCCCGGCTACCTGCTCCCTGCTCTCTCTTTAGCTATTTCCCTTAAGCTTGGCCCAGATCTCTCAGCTTAACAGAAAAATCATGCAACTGTCATGTTCCAGAGTCATAGAAGGTAGGGGATTGAGGGGAACAAAGGAACTGAACTGAATAGAACTTGACCATGGCATTTGATGATCTGAGAACAAATACACATGAAGATATGTACTCAAAAATATACAAACATAAACCCATGCACCAATTATATGTCTACACACAAACTACATTCAAGTATAAACATACTTACACATATACATTCGAATACTCACACAAAATACAAATAATGTATACACACAAAATATACAAAAAATAGACAAAATTTGAGCATGTACAGCTATGCACACACACACACAAATATATATAAACAAAATGCAGTACAAATATAAACCCAGACACTCAAACATAAATGTAATTAAACCATTTTTTTCAATTTTTCCTTATCTCGGTCACAGCCATTTCTCATTCCTTGGGCAACTTGTATATACAAGTATTCATCAGTGGGCTTATGAAATATTGCAAAAAGCTGTAATAAGGAAGGGTGGAATCTCCAGGTTGGGAATTTCTGGTCTATTGCAATAATAACAGCAGATACTTACATTGCAGTCACTAAGTGACGCGTGTTGTTTTAAGTGTTTTATGTGTCTTCCCTCATTAACAAATCTATGAAGTAAGCACTATTATTACCCCATCGTATAGCTAAGGAAATAGCTTCAGAGTTAATTAAATTTTCCAAGGAAACACAACCAGGAAACTGACTTCAGAACACAGGCTTGTCAACATTCTGCTATATTGCCTCATTTGATGCGGAGTCCTGCAGACCTTGAATGACATGTTCAAGGAATCATGGTAAATTGCTCTGTTCCCAACCCTGGACCAAACCAAACACCTGGCACCTTCGTCACACTGCTAGGTAGTGCCTCCTAAACTCCTTCATCCTGATTAGCAACACTGCACACAGAGCAAATCTTCATGAACACTTTGAGTGAGTGACCTTGAGTGCCGAGTGGTTTATAGTGCCGCCCAAGTAGAATTCAAAATAAAACAACCCTCGACTCTGAAATAAAACTTTACTTCTGTGAAATGACACAAAACATTCCTGTAGGCCAAAATGAAAATGGGTTCTCAAGACTTTTTTGACTGTCTTTGGCCCATTCCTTGCTGGGTGCCTGAGCACACATTCATTCTTCTTATTGGGCCATCCAGCCCTGTCCACAGGTTTTACTTTTATAGCTCTTTGTCTGGTGATTTGCTTGTGTCACCCACAGTGGTTTCTCTAACTATCCATTTTCTCCAAGCCCCAGTCCCTCAGCCAGCAGAGGAACTTAGCCCCACATTCATGGAGCCAGAGGCCAAACCCACTCAAGGTTCCCGTTCCCTTCTTTCACCTTTCAAAACAAAGAATTATAATGAAAATGTATCAAGCACTGATTACCTGCCAGGCACTGTGCTAAACATTGGATAGGCAATTTTTTTTCCAAACATTTAAAGGCCATAAGAAATCATGAAGCAGATATTATTATTATCCTTCAAATTAAACAACTTGTCCATGGTCGCTGTATCAATTTAAGCAAAGGAAACCTTTGGCTATTTGGCAGCTCAGAGAATGCACAGTCAGGCTTAGAAAATGGGTTCGGGGGTAGGGTAGTAAAGCCAGGATGAAAAATCACCCTACAGACTCAGTTCAGGGAAGACACAGCTGCCACCAAACCCCATTGCTTGGGACCCAGAGCTCCATTCCTGATTGCCATTCTGCCCCTGGACTGGATGTCACTGTGAGCTCTTTTGCTAAGATAAATTCTCCACTGTTCCCACTTCCTGGAATCATAAATGCCTTATTTAAAAAACAGAACGGGTGTCTGAGTGGCTGCACCTTGGCCATGTGCTCACATCCTAGCTGCAGGAGAGGCAGAAAACAAGTATTTGAACTTTAGGAGGTGGCAATGTCCCTCCTTAAGACTGCTATGGTGAGGGGATTTCCCCAAAGAGAAAGTGGATACCAGTGGTAGACAGACAAAAACAAAACAAAACAGATAAATATGTACGGCAGCCACATAGGTAGCAAGTAACGGGTGGGATTTGAATTCTGGTCTATTTGAGATAAAAGTTTGAGGTCTTAAGGATAATCCTATGCAGTCACTCTATAAAATTCCTTTCCTCTCAAAAGAGAGCGCTCTCCATTGAAGTCCAATGTTCCTACTTAATTCTTTGACTCTGTCTCTTCTGCTTTCCGTGGATTTTTCTCCATCAATGAACCACTCTCTCTTTTATATTTTCAATATCTCTGATTTTATAATGTATTTCTCCTCAGTTTAAAAAATGTCACATATCTCACATCTTTACAAATATATTTCCTCAGGATCTTCTCCTTGGTCTGGTCCCTTTTGGAGAGTCCTGGGGTTGAATCCTAGGCCTCTCAGTGGTTCAGTCATTTCACCTCTCTGAGCCCTGGTTTCCTCCTTAGTCATACATATCTCCTTGTGAGGATTAACTCGGACAACGTTTAATACATAATCAAGGGTATTATCATAAACATTAGTGGCATCACGGCTGAGGGTGGGAATAGGTCATGACTACAAACGGGTATGAGGTATATTTTTGGGGTGATGGAAATGTTCTAAGATTGGACCGTAATGATGATGGTGGCACATTTCTGTAAATTTACTAAAACTCATTGCATTGTACATTTAATGAGTGGCTCTTATGGCAATAAAGCTGTTATAAATTAACAAAGGTCACAGACAAGTGTTTCTCTGATCTCACTCCCACTCTCTTTCTCTGTAGAGACTTCTCAAATTTTTCTAGGAAAAAGGTGCCTAGAGGCTTTTTTCTGACTGGCTTTCTCATGTAGCTGAGACTCCTGCTATCCCAAGTCTGAAGAAGCAATAAAATACAGGGTTGTGGATAGAAGCACCACAACTGAGAGCCAGTCAGACCTGGGTTCAAATCCTAGACTCCTCATATGGTCACCTGAGCAAATGTTTACCTTTCTGAACTTTGGTTTTCAAACAAGTACAATGGTGGAATAAACTTTATCTGGTCGTCTTGAGGATGAAAGGAGACTATAACTGTGAAATCCTTGTTACCAATCCCAGCAGAGAGTCAGCACTCAATAGCTGGTAACTACGGCTACTCACAGCTTGGGGAGGTGACTTCTCTGAGAGTTCCAGCTTTTCTTCTCTCACACACTGTATATTTATGCTTTCTCAGTTATAATGCAGGCCTTATAATTTCTCCTGGGGAGAAACAGCCTCCTTATTAATCTTCCCTCACTTGCCTCTGCCCTGGCAATTATCTTCAATAAGGGCTTGTCAGAGTGAATTTTCTAGGTAAAAAAATATCTGACCATGCCACCAGGTCTTCTCTACAAGATCTTCCTCGTCCCTATGGCTCACACCTGAGTGCGGCATTGACAGCCCCCACGATGATTGGCACCTGCTTTGCCCCCCTCCCTCAAGATCTCCTCTTCTGTCTCAAACATTCACAGCCACAGCTCTTGACCTTCCGCTTATGGGAAACTTCTTTCTATTCTCCATTCTTCTCCCCTCCCCAGTAAACCCTTGAGCAGTTCACGTCACCTGACCTAAGTCTCAGTTTCGTCATATGTGAGTTGAAAGTTTATGGTTTCCACTTCTGAGGATTGTTCTGAGGATAACAATGGTAAATATGAAGGTGACAATGATAACAATAACAAAAAACAACAATAATTATAGTTAATAATTATTCGACACCTACTATGTGTCAGGTACTTTGCTAAACAATTTATATGTTATCCCATTTAATTAAATCAGGTATGGTTATGATTTGTATTTTATCATAGAAGGCTCAGAAAATTTACCTTACTCAAGGTCTATAAGTATCAAGTAGCAGGGCTAATACTCAATTCCAAATCTGTGTGAAATCAAAACTCTAGGTTTCTAGAATTCTTTTTTTTTTTCCTTCAGTCTATTCTCTTCTTTCTTTGTCTCCTTTCTTAGTCTCTTAGGTTCTACCCAAGGCCCAGCCTTCGGAAGCTTGGCTGAAGGGGCACAGTTCATGTGCCTTCTCTACACTTTAGAAAGATTTGGGTTGCCTCCCCATTAGATCACTTCTCACAGCCTTACTCAACGTATGTTATTTATTCAGTCTACAAATATTTATTGAGCACCTGCAGTGTGCCGGGTGTGTCAGAAATTGCTAGCTCTTCGTCAGTATCTGTCTTCCTCTTCTTCTTAGTAAGATGATCCCAGAATTTTAGCTAGCCATGGTTGCCCAGGATATAGAAAATACTTCTAGCCTGCCTTGCAGCTAGGAGTGACCATCCGAATGAGCTCTGGCCAATGGACTGGAGTGGAAGTGATGTGTCCAGATCCTTGGGTGGGGTCCTTACAGGGAAAGATGTACACTTCATTTCCCTTCTTTCTCCTCTCCCTGATGGGTTATCTAGGGTGACCGGGAAAAGCCTCTCCAAGGAGGCGACATTTGGGATGAGATTGAATGATGAACAGGAGCCAAATTTAAGAAGGCATGAAGGAGAGACTTTATGGGAAGAACAAATAACAAATGCTAAGCCCCTGAACTGGGAATGAGTTCAAGGGTTCAGAAAGACATACACGTGTATATTCTTCTGTTAGAAAGTTGAGAATGTTTTTATTTTTTAAATTAAATGTTTCTTGATATGTATTTATGTATTAATTAATTTCTTTGTTGGTCTCTAGAAGCCAAATGCCTTTAATCTGCGTATCTCCTTACCAGGGAGGGAAGCCACTTTTGGCACTGGTGCTGGCTAGTTTCCCACACGCTCATCTTGTGCTTTGCTGTCCTTTGGCCTGGCTGATCTCATATAAATCTTCTTCTGCTATAATTCACTGCCCACAGCCCTGCCAATAAAAGCGAGGCTCATCCTTGCTGCAGAGAATTCTATTTCCATCCCCAGCAACACAGCCTCCTCCTTTTCTTGTGACCTGTCAGCCATGAAGTTTCTATTCCTGTTTCTTGTCATCCTTCTAGCCATGGAGCCAGCAGTATCAGGTAACTTGGGTCTCTCTCAAGCGTCTGGGATCCCGGTCGTGAACTTCTTTCCTTCCCTTTCCTTCTCACTGTGGGTTACATTTGAAACTTTTCCTCATTTCATGTGGCTTTGGCAGGTTTTCCCATAATCATCTCATGTCCACATCTCTCTCTGATGCTTTTTTGCCAAGGTGATGAGATGATAGATGTTTGGAGCATCTGGCACTTAAGGGCAGAATGGTATTCTGGTGGGATCTTGGAAGTAGGCTGAGGGGTGAAGAGTTGGTTGCAGGTTGGAGAGTTTTGGAGGCTTTGGGAGGTTAGATTGAAGGCTAGTGGTTAGTTGTGATGTGGGAGAAAGACCTAGGGGTTGGAGCGATAGAGGGAAAATTTGGATGAGCTGGAGGTGAGGAGTTGGGCTTCTCTGATGATCTGGGGTGGGCTTGAGAAGGGATGGGACTAGGGGTAAGTGGAGCTGGTGTTGGGGATTAGACTGGGGCTTGGGCTGAGGCTGAGAGTTGGTTTTGGATGCTGCAGGGTGTTTATTAGAGGTTCAGCTTGACGAAGGACTACTGCTTGGAACTGAGGTTGGTGGCTTGATTAAGTTTGGGTTTGACTTGGAGTTGGGACTCAAGGGACATTGAGCTGGACGAGGTTAGGAGTTCTAATTAAGACTGGACTGGGTTTTGAGTTTGAATTAGGTGAACATGGGGAGGATTAGAGGTGGGATTGTAGCTAGACCTGGTGCTTGTGGGGCTTAAGTTAGACAGGGCCAGGCTGTCAACAAGGAGCAGTTCTGTTAAAATGTGGGTGAGTCTCCTCCATTTCCTAATGTTATAGGTGTTTATTGTCCTTTTCCCATCATTCCCAAGCTCCATTAGGTTGGACTTTCATTGGCAACAATTGATTTCAAAGTTAGGAGTAGGAGGCTGGGGAATGGGAAGACAGAAGTGTGGGATGTCTGAAAAAAGGCTTTCCTAAAAACCTTGGAGTTCCCAATTTTGAAATAATTGTTTCAATTTTCTCCCCACTCAAAATCTCTTTTCCCTTTTCCTGGGACTGGATCCAGTATTACTGACTCAACTCTCCTTCCCCATCTCCCCTGTCCTCCTGCTCCTCCTCTGCTTCCTCTTGTCTCTCTGCTTAAGGGTTACTAACATCTGTTCTTATGCCCAGTAGCGAGCTGTTGGATGAATGGACAATGCCGATTGGTGTGCAAAAATGATGAAGAGAGTATTACACGCTGCTCAAATCGTAAACGGTGCTGTGTCCTTAGTCGTTACTTAACAATAAAACCAATAACATTTGATGAAATACTCTCCTGGACCACTCCTCAGCCGACTAGACAAGTAAAACATAAGGCCAGACCTGGCAAAAAAGTTGGAAGATAAATGGAAATCATGGCTAGAAATGAGTTTGCTTTAGACTCTTTAATTCCTACATTCCATTAAAACTCACAAATAAGTTTCTTGTGCCTGTCAATCATGAGAAATGATGCTCCAGAAGGATTGAGGGTGAAGGGGTGGCAGAATAGGGGTTAAAAGGTAGCAGAGAGACATCACTGAAGCTGGGCCACAGCCATGGGGTGATTATTACAGTCTGGAAGATAGGTCCTCATCTTCTAGCTACAGGAGTGAACAGAGAAGCACACGTGGAAAGCTAAGAAAGTTAAAGGTGCAGCAGATACCCAGAGAGTGAGAGAACTCTTGGGCTGGGAGAGTTGGTCCATCTTGAGGGTGAAAGGACTGGGGGTGAACAGGGACTAAGTAGAGCCCAAATCCAGGTAAGCTGGCTGAGATGGTTTTTTTTCCCCCTCTTTAATCCCCCACCCCCCTCCCACCTTTGACCTATGGATGTTGCTGTTTCCCCTTAAGAGCTGGATCTCTGAAGGCAGGGCATCTCCTCCACACACTCGTGGGGTGCACCCGGGGCCTCCACCACACTCGAGGGCCTGGTGCACCCGGGGCCTGGTCCATGGCTCCACCTGGGGCGTGAACCCAGGATCTTCTGCGTGTAAAGCAGATGTGCTAACCACTACACTATGGAGCCACCCTGGTTGAGATGTTTTTGATGTTCAAGAGCACATAGCCCCAAGGATCAGAAAGTTTCAAAGTGCTAAAAAAAAGATAAAGCACATGAATTTACTTATTCATAAATGAATTTGTTCACTTTTAATCTTTTAAATTCTTTCATGGATTCATTTATTCATTCACTCACCTTAGCTCCGTCATTTGCCACTGTTAAACTCTGTGTACATACACCTCTCAGAATATCAGCTTCTCCATCTGTAAAATTGGAATAATAGACTCTGTCTCAGGATGAGGTAAGAATGAAATGATATAACATAGAGCACAGTGCCCAGTACATAGTAAAACCCTGCTAATGTTAGCTATTGTTATTGTTCTTTGATTTATTTGAGCATTTAAAGAATATGTGCTGTGTGTCTTCCAACTGTGTTAGACTCTGAGGGAGACAGAAGCTTGTCTCATTTGAACTAAGACTTTATGTTCAGGCTGGAGTGTCCATGTCTGTGCATATGAGAACTTCACAGGATGGGGCACAGCTGAGGATGGGCAAGAAGAAAGGTGGGCTGTGGGCTGAACCGGCTTCCATCAGGATGCTGTGCTCCTGCACGAAACTCTGAAGAATCCAAGAATTATAAATTCAGATCTGACCTTTCAGATTATCATGAAGGAGTATTTCATTAAGGTGATAAGATATATTTTATTTATTCCATTTGTTAGCTTGATTTATAACTGTTAAATATTCAGACAAGCCTCCATTTGTATTCCTGACCTAGGATCCCAAAATGTTGGTGTTGTGCCAGGAATTTGGGTCTTGCTTGACTCACGACCTACCTCCAGGCCCACTTCAGAGGCAAAAGATGCTTAACTTGTGCTTTAGTCTTGATGCTTGTCTGTCTGTGACTGTGGACTCTCAGGTTACATACCAGAGCTACCTGTGGCTCTGGGTGAGACCATCCAAAATACTTCCTTCCTGGGCTCCCTGCCTCCAGATTTTCCTTGCATTAGTCTTTATTATCAGAGGGATTCTTTCTAGGAAATTCATATGACCATGTTGCTCTCCTGACTAGATATCTTTTGTTCCTCACTGCCCAGGGTTGGACACCAAAGGCCTTTACATGGTGGATTAGCTTATCCCTCATGACTGCCACTCACAGACTTTCTCTTCAGTTACACCAACACTCTCCACATCCTGTCCTGCCCCTCACATTGCCTTTGTTCATGGGCCCCCTGCACCTTGTCCCTGTTACCTGGTTCATCTCTGTGATGAACTCCTCACCCTGTTGATGCCCAAAGGCTGTTGATGCCCATATTCATGAAAGCCTTTACATAGCTCTGTCTCACTATTTCTTAAGATTATAATAATAATAGTTCTCATTGACACTTATGTTTCAGGCACTGTGCATGCTGTTTACAGGCCTGGAATCATTCAATTTTTACAACAGTCCTCTTATTATCCCTATCTTATTCATGAGGAAACCAAGATCTAGTAATATCATTAGCCAAGGTCACACAATATTAAAATAGAGCAGGGATTCAAATTGAGTTCTGATTGGCTTCACTCTTAAGAAGGTATGGCTCAGATCACATTATTGTATAATTATTTCAGTCGTTGCCCCTTCCCACTAATCCCCCAAGCAACCACATACCAGATATAAATCCTTAGAGATTCAGACAGCATCTTATTTATATCTGTAGGCCTGATGTTATGCTCAGTGCTTACACAGAGTATTTCTTGAATGAATGAGTAGATGAACCATGAATTCATAGCTGGAAGCACAAGTGGATTTGGGGGAAGGGTACAAATGGCTGATGTGTCAGATATGAATCAGGGTGGGATCCTTTCTGGGCTTTAGGGATCCTAAGACCACCATGTCAGGTATATTTGGCTCTGGCTGGCAGTGTCAGAAAGGATGCAAAGCAGCTCTTGGGCCTTGCTCAAGTTGGTTCTTACCCATCAGTTAGTTTATTCTTAAAACACATAGGTTTCACAGTGTGGGAAGTGGTCTGGGAGAGTCTAAGCATCCCCTAATATCTGGGGCCTGGTGTTAACTTATCCACACACAGCCATTCATGCCCCCACCAAATTAATTTATTATGAGGCATTACCTAGTCGACAGCATTTATTAAGAACCTTTTCCATGCTTTACATGGGGTATAGACAACCCTGGAGAGTGACAAAATGGTGAGATGAGAAAAGGGCTTGGAAGCCACTTAACCCCTGAATCTCTGGACTTGGGGTCTGAGCATGTGAAATTTTGAAAATTCCCTCAGATTATTCCTTTGAGACATAAGGCCCCATCCTCTAGTTCCCCCGCCAAACTTCCTTCATTCCTGAGAGCCTTCAAACTGCGAGAATCTGATCTAGGCATCTCTCTCCCATCTCCCCATTTCACGGATGGAAAACTGAGGCCCAAAGAGAAAAATTGACTTGTGTTCATAAGTAGGTTCAACATGATACTGGGATTAATAAGCAGGTCTTCTCTGACTTCTGGCGAGAGGGCTGAGGTAACATCGAAGTTGATAATAAATCTATGTGGGTGATACCGAGTGAATGGTGGTGCAGAGTGATATGGGGTCAATAGAAGGGCAGGCGTTTGGAGCTGCAAATCCCCTGACAAAAGCCTTGGGGTTAGTGTGGGTACCCCAAAGCAGGGAAGACTGGGTACCTGACCTGGCTTTCCCGGGATTGATACACAGGCCTGCTGGTGTAACTGAAGCTCAATTCTGTCTCTGTTCTGTATACCAGTACCCATAATCTAAATTATATTTTATAGTTAGACGAAGAATTCATCCTTGACTCTTGCTCCAGCTCCACAGAAGTAAAAATATTTCCTTCTTATCTCTCCTCATCCTTTGCTTAGGCAACATCTGTTCTTTGTTTAAAATAAAATGGAGTAGATCCCTTCCATTCAATGCAAAGGCTTAGGGTGTGTGTGTGTGTGTGTGTGTGTGTGTGTCTAGTATACATTAGACTTTGTATTAAGCCCTTATGGACATAAGGGGCCCTATGTGCCTAGTACTAAGTATGAAGTCTGGCAAAAATTGGATGTTGAATACATTTGTGGAATACACGAGAGGCCCTTGATAGCCAGTTTCAGAAGTTTGGCCTTGACATTGAAGACAATAGAAGGCCGTGTCTCCAGCTGTCCTTATTCAGGGAAGTATCAACCTTTCCCCGCCAAGTCTCACAGATAAAGAAGGCAGCATTGTCCATTAGAAAGAGTATGGGCTTAGAGTCATAACAAGTGGAGTTTGAGGTCTACCTCTGTGTCTAACAGTTATGGGGCCTTTGCCAGAACATTTCATCTCTCTGAGCCTCCATTTCATAATGCAAGAAAAAGAAATAGAGACATCAGAAGGTTATAGTCAAGATTTAATGAGTTAATGTATATCAACTGGTACTCAGCAAATGCTAATGGGCATTATTTTTATTTTCTTTCATGTTTTGACCTCAATACCAAGGAGAAATAATAATAAAGCTAATGGCTAACATTTATTGAATGCTTACTACGAACTAGGAACTGCGTGTGTGTACAGTTCCTATGTGCACAACCTCCAAAAAAATCTTTGGCTATCAATGAGGGACTAACATCTGTCTAATTTCATGAGACTATTCCCAAACTGTGTTCGTAGTTGCAGTACAGGCAGAAATGGGTCCTTCAGAAAGGACCTTTATGTGTTAATGAAAACAACAATAGTAGTTAACATTTACTTTGTTCTTACCATGTGCCAGTCCCTAATTGCTTTTCATTTATTAAGCTATTAATATTCATAGTTCTGAGGATTAAGGACTACTACAGTCTACACGGCACAGATGAGAAAGGGGTAGAAGAGAGAAGTACAGACATTTGTTCAAGTTTACACCACAAGTAAAGCAGAAGTTTAGATTTGAACCCAGTGTGGTTTTTTTCCACTTAATTTTTTAAAATTAAATTTGTTGGGGTGACATTGGTTAATAAAATTATATAGGTTTCAAATGTATAATTCAATAATACGTCATCTGTCTATTGCATTGTGTTCACCACCCAAATTTAAATCTCCTTTTGTCTTTCTTGATTTCAATCTTGTTCTATTAACCACTCTATGGCTCCTTATTTTATTTCATGGATTTGTATTTCAATTGATTATTTAATTTCAACTTTATTGAGGTATAATTGACATATAAAAGTGTAAGATATTTAAAGTGTACATTGTTATGATTTGATATACATATACATTGTGAAAGGATTCTCCTCTCTGGTTAATTAACACATCTATCACCTCACAATTTCTTTCTTTCTTTCTTTCTTTCTTTCTTTCTTTCTTTCTTTCTTTCTTTCTTTCTTTCTTTCTTTCTTTCTTTCTTTCGTGAGAACAACTAAATTCTACTCTCTTAGAAAAATTTAATATACGATACAGTTTATCAGCTATAGTAACCATATGTTACATTAGATTCATAGACCTTACTCATTTCTTTCTTTTCTTTCTTTCTTTCTTTCTTTCTTTCTTTCTTTCTTTCTTTCTTTCTTTCTTTCTTTCTTTCTTTCTTTCTTTCTTTTTTTGGTGAGAACAACTAAATTCTACTCTCTTAGTTTATCAGCTATAGTAACTATATGTTACATTAGATTCATAGACCTTACTCATCTTATAGCTGAAAATTCGTCCCCTTTACCAACCCCTCCCCATTTCCCCTGCTGCCCAGCCTTTGGCAACCACATTTACTCTCTGTGTCTATGAGTTTGATCTTTTTTTTTTTTTGTAGGCTTCACATATAAGTGGTACTATGCAGTATTTGTCTTTATCTGGCTTATTTCACTTAGCGTAATGCCTTCGAGGTCCATCCATATTGTCACAAATGTCAAGATTTTCTTCTTTCTCATGGCTGAATAGTATCCCATTGTAGATATATCCCATATCTTTATCCATTCATCCACTGATAGACACTTAGGCTGTTTCCATATCTCCGCTATTGTGAATAATGCTGCAATGACCACGAGAGTGCAGGCATCTCTTCAATATCCTGTTTTCATTTCCTTTAGATACATACCCAGGCAGTAGGATTGCTGTATCATACAGTAGTTCTATTTTTAATTTTTGAGGAACTTCAATATTGTTTTCCATGTGGATGGACCACTATACATTCCCACCAAAAGTGCACAAAGGTTCTTTTTTCTCCACATCCTCACAAACTTTTTATTTTAGCTTTTTATTTTGAAATAATTATGCATTTACAAGAAGTTGCTAAGATAGTACAGAGAGAGGTTCCATGTGCCTTTCATGCAGTTTACCTCTGAATGGTTGTATTTTACATAACCACAGTACAATATACAAACCAGGAAACTGCTTTTGGTGCAATGCGTGTGCATACTCCTGCGACATTTTATTGCAAGCATAGAGTTATGATCAAGACACAGAGCTGTTCTATTACTATTAAGATCTCCCTCTTGCTACTTCTTTACAGTGGCACAAACTCTTCTCTCTGACCCCACCCTCTGCCACTGTTTCTAATCCTTGGCAACCACTAATCTGTTTCCCATCTCTATAATTTTGTCACTTTAAAACTGTTGTATAAATGGAGTCATATAAATGTTGTGTAAATATTATCTTTTGAGAATGGCTTTCCACCCCCACTCAACGTCATGCTCTTGAAATCCATCCAAGTTGTGTAGATCAACAGATGATTCCTTTTAATACTGAGTAGTTCTAGTTATTAAGGCAAGAAACAAAAATAAAAGGCATACAGTTTAGAAAGGAGTAAATACAATGGTCTGTATGTGTAAATGTCATAATGGTTTATGTAGAAAATCCTAAAGAATATCTAAAAAATATCTGGTACTAGTAAGTCCAGCAAGTTCACAAGGTACAAGATAAACATATAAAAATCAATTGTATTTTTACATACTATCATCGAATGTGTGAACACTGAAATAAAAAATATAATAACATTCACAAGCATGCCAAAAATATAAAACACTTAGAAGTATATTTAATAAAATATTTACAGAAATTGTATGACAAAAACTACAGAATGCTTTATAAAAAAACCCCAAAGATCTAAATAAATGATGAGACATACCATGTTTATAGATTGTTTATAGATTATAAACATGGTAAGAGACTGTGTTTATAGATCGACAACTAACAAAAATGTCAATTTTCCTCAAATTGATTGACACACAACACAATTTCCATCAAAATCCCAGCAAGAATATTTGTACATATAGACAAGATTATTCTGTCTACATCTCTGTAAAGAAATCCGCAAAAGAATGAGAATAGCTAAAAAAAAGAAAAATGTTTGAAAAATAATAAAGTAGAAAGAATCATTGTATCAGATTTCAAGACTTATATAGCTAAAATAATCAAGACAGTGTGATATTGTTAGAGAGATAGACGCATAGATCAGTGGAAACTCAGAAATAGCTTCGCATGAGCATAACCAAGTTGACTTCTCACAAATGTGAAAGGCAAGAAAAGACATTTCATTGAAGAGGATGCATGGATGGCAGAGAAATAGCTTCGCATGAGCATAACCAAGTTGACTTTTCACAAATGTGAAAGACAAGAAAAGACATTTCATTGAAGAGGATGCATAGATGGCAAATAAGCACATGAAAAGATGTTCAACATCATTAGCAATTAAAGAAATGTATATTAAGGCCACAATGAGATTCCACTACCTACCTATTAGAACAGCTAAAATTAAAAATAATGACAACACCAAATGTTGGCAAGGATGCAGAGGAACTGGATCTTTTATATATTGCTGGTGAGAATCTTAAATGGCACAACCACTTTGGAAAATAGTATGGCAGTTCTTTTTTAAAAAACCAAATATATACTTATCATACTACCCAGAAAATGCACTCTTGGGCATTTATTCCAGAGAAATGAAAATTTAGTTTCAAAAACTAAATGATGAATGTTCATAGCAGCCTTTATTTATTTTTTAAGGGATTTCTTTTCTTTTTTTTTAATAAAAGATTGTTTTTAGATTGGTTTTAGGTTCACAGCAAAATTGAGAAGAAAGTACAGATGTTTCTCATATACTCTCTGCTCCTACTAGTGCACAGCTTCCCTTATTATCAACATCTCCCACTAGAGTGGTACATTTGCTATAAGTGGTGAACTTACATCAACACAATAATCACCCAAAGTCTGTAATTTACATTATGGTTCACTCTTGGTGTTGTTCATTCTATGTATGTGAACAAATGCATAATGACATTAATCCATTTTTATAGTATCATAGAGAGTATTTTCACTGCCACCCAAATCCTCTGTGCTCTCTACCTGTTCATCTCTCTCCCCAGTCTAATCCATGACTACTTTTTTTTTTTATTGTGTCCATAGTTTTGTCTTTTCCAGAATATCCTGTAGTTGGAGTCATACAGTATGTAGCCTTCTCAGATTGCCTTCTTTCACTTAGAAAAATGCATGTAAGCTTTCTCTGTGTCTGTTCATGACTTGATAGCACATTTCTTTTTAGTGTTGAATAATATTCCATTGTCTGAAGGTGCCAGAGTTTATCTATTCATTCACCTACTGAAGGGCATCTTGGTTTCGTTCAAATTTTGACAATTAAATAAAGCTATCTGTGTGCAGATTTTTGTGTGGACATCAGCTCTCAAGTCCTTTGGGTAAATACAAAGGAACTCAATTGCTGGTTCATATAGTAAAAGTAAGTTTAGTGTTATAAGAGACTGCCAAACTGTTTTCCAAAGTGACTGCATCACTTTTCATTCCCACCAGCAATGAATGAGAGTTCCTGTTGTTCCACATCCTTGTTAGAATTTGGTGTTTTCAGTATTCCAGATTTTCGTCATTCTAATAGGTGTCCAGTGGTATCTCATTATTGTTTTAGCACTTTATGTTTTAACTATGCTCTCTGACCGGTCAAATCTATGTTGCTGCTAAGTAGAAATTAACTATTTGAACTTTTTTTTTTTTTTTTGGCCAGGCAAACGTCACATCCTTCGATGCATGGGTAACATGGGAATCTGTAGAACCTCTTGCAAAAAAGATGAACGTCCCTACTTGTATTGCAGAAATTATCAATCATGCTGCCTCCAGTCTTATATGAGGATAAGCATTTCCGGCGAAGAGGGGAAAAATGACTGGAGCCAAGAAAACAGCTGGCCAAAAATATCTTGAGTGCTGGTGATCACTGTCCTCAGCCTACTGTTAATATACCTCATTAAAATTCATGCACTTGACACTCTTATCTGTCTTTCAGCCTTTAGAAATCATGTCGAGGTTGGGATTTGCGTGGTGAGATATCTGTCCCCTTCTGGATCCAGTCTTGTAAGAGACAAGGCTAAAAAACTGGAGTGAACGGAAGAGAGGGGAGAGGGTAAACATGAGGCCACTGAAGGAGGATTGAAGGGTTTCGGCAGAGCTATGACTTAATCTGTGATATGTAGGGCTCAGAGAGGGACCAGAATTAGTGGGATACATGCATCGGGCAGTGAGTGAAAGTCTTACAGACAAATATGTCTTAGCCCATGGAAGAACTTCTTAACCAGCCATTGTAATGTAGAATAAGTTGTCCTGTCAAGGTTTCAAGTCAGGCGATTATTGCGGAAGGAATTGGAAAATTAGATGGTTGTTCTTTTTGATTCCTGAAAATCTAGCATGTTTGAGCCAATTACAAACGACACTAGCTTTTTAAGGTAAAACTCTACTATTACTTTTTATGTCTTTCCTCCACTAATATCTTATTTCTTTCTCCATCTTTAGTTCCAAATTTTTCAAAAGGAGTGTAGCTACTACACCTGCCAATTACTTTTCTCTATTTCTCTGCCTCTCGGTAACTCATTACAATTTGCTATTGGGCTCACTATTCTATTGAACTGGCCTTGGCCAAGGTCATCACTGGACCTCCTTTTGGAAAGTTTCACGGATGTTGCTCGACTTGTATTACATTCTCCCTTTTGGTAGCATTTCCAGCCTCCTTGAAAACCTTAGTTTGGTTGGCTTCTGTGACTTCATTCTTTGTTTTCCTCCTAACTTTTGGGCTGCTCTTTCTCCGCTATCTTTTGGAGTTCCTCCTCTGGCATTGCATTCCTCTGAGGTTACTATTCTCTTGTGACAATAAAAACTCTCCACATTCTTAGGAAAAGGCTGACAGTTCTCTAGCCATAACAAGTAAATACCTTGAAAGATTTGAAAACTTTCTCATCGATTAGTGACAACTTGTTTCAGTGAATACACATCTGAAGGACAGATTTGCAGTGATAGCATTCTACTTGGAAAATCAGTCAATCAGCACTGGGTTTTCTTCAGTGTACACATTTCTAAGTTGTCATCGACCCATCTCCACATCTGCTACAAACACCACTCTCTTAAGATGCTTCCTCTAAATTCAGTTCTTTGCTCTGATGAATGAGCCTGTGCCTGACCAGCATGGTTCTCAATTATTTAAGAAAACAATCATTTCAGCATTTTGGTTTCAGACGTTGAGTGACAGTTTCATCCTTTGACAATGATCTTTTCTCCCGTCTGTGCTGCCACCCATCCTGTCACAACAATAAAGCTTATGATCTAGAGAAAAATGTTGGTTCTGGACCTTGGTTTCTGGCAGAATAATAGTCTAAAATCCCATATTAACCTTCCCATTGAAAATATCTAAAATAATTTATTTAAAATATACAAAAGAATTCTTTAAGCATCCTCAACTTTGCAAGAAAAGTAAAGAATATTAAGGCCAAATGAAGCCAGGTGCCTTTCTGAAGGCAGTAACTGAAGCTGGCTTTTGTCTTGAAAGCATTTGGTGAATCAGGTGAACATGACCTTTGATTTCCATAGCTTTGGCTATGGGAGTGGGAGCTGGGGAAGGCAAGAGAGGGGAGACAGTGCCTAGGGTCTGAAAAAATGTGAGTCTAATAGAAGACTCCTACATAAATGACAGACCTAAAAGTGTTACATACGCCGTTAAAGGATAAAACAGATACAACATTCCTTTTCCTTCATCAGACATTCAAGGACACTTTCTTGGTCTCGGACCTTGGTATTTAGTACATAGAAAAAAATCTCCACTGAGAATTTACAGCCTCAAGCTGGCTCTCACATAGTCTCTTAGCCTGAACTCATGATATATGGATGCTCTGAAAAAAAAAAAATTGATGATTTAGCTTAAAGTTGTCCCAAACTGGTAGTGCCAAAGATGTCTAACAGAAATAAATGAAGGAGTAGATCTTTAAGTCAGAACTCAATTAATTTACTCAGATTAGGTTCCAAGGTAAATGCATAGATCAGAGCCCCAAATCACAAAACACACAAGGCAATAAGGCACCGTGAGTCAAGTCTAGCAGAAACCACAGACTAGGATTCAGACTTTCAAAGACTTCAATCGTTAGAATTATTAGTGATACTAATTTTAATAATAATCTGAAAAATAAATTGATTAGATTTGAGTTTTCCATCATCAATTGGGTATTATCTGACCCCTGTCAAGAAGCATTCCAACATTAAATGGAAATGGTATGTTAAAAACTGAAACTTAAGAGGTCTGAAAAGCATAAATAAACTGTAGGAGCAGGTGGCTCAGATGCCCATGGTTCCTGCTTTATTGCCTCTCCTTCATCACATACTAATGGTGTCACAACGAGGTCCTATGGTTAGCAAACAAAGGAGGGTAAAGCAAGAGCAGGTTTGTGGAGTGGTTTACATAATATGCTAGCACCAGCCAGAAGTGCTGCATTACAGTTTGATTTAGAGGTAGCCCTGAAGTTAGACGGTGAGTAAGGGAAATCTTTTCCATAGAAGGAGGAATGGTCTAAGGTTTGGATCTATAGTAATTCATGGACGGTGATAATAGGTTAACTGGTGGATTGGTCAGGGTTTCAGAAAGAGCAAGATTAGATTTGTAACAATGAGTGTGTGGTAGGGTTATATTGGATGGATGTCTCTGAAAGGGCATTTGGTTGTGACAATTTATGCTGCCATCAAGAGGCAGGGCTGACACAAGGGATGCCCCTGGTATCCCAAACCACTTATTGAGAAGACAGAAGGACAAAGAGAAAAATTAGTGCTGGGATACTTAACTAAGTGATTAAGGCTGTGCATAGGTCACCAGCAAACAAGGGACACTAAAAATGGGTTGAAACTTGTTATGGAAATAATTTGACATTTCAAGAAAAACACAGAGGATTTTATCATTGACAGTTCGGGCAATTTTTACACTTTCTTACAAAGTTGTTTTTATCTAGAATTACACATTGATGAAGGGTGTGTCATTGCGGTATTTTCAGTGCTTTATATGCCTCCAGGGGTGGTTGCTAGCCGAGAGGCAGTTATGAGCTTTGATGAAGTTCTGGCAGTGGTAGGTGAATTTTCGTTCTCCGGGTTAGGATTTCCATTTTCTAAATTCGTGTTTATTGCAAAGTCGGTTGTAGACCACGGTGGTACTACAATGTAATCTATAGGACTTAGATCTAGGGTTGTGGGAACAGTCGTAGGCATTTTCCTTTGGGGGACTGCAGGAACGCAGCAGACTCGACGATTTTTACATGCTTCTCTTATTTCTTCGTTAACATTGCAGGTTTTCTTGCAGCGCCCAATATTTTGCGAGCATTTTTTCCCACGAAAGCCTGAATAATAAAAGGAAAGACCACTGATTTTAGGTTACTGATGCCCTCCATTTTACAAACATGACTGTATATTTGATATCCCGTAACAACTTCATAGGTCGTAATTAGACTATGGCTACAAGGCTGGTAAATACCATGTTTCTAAAAATATCTGTTCCTAATCTCCTATCTGCCAAGTTTTTGACTTTTCTGAAAGTGAGATGAACCTTACCATACATGAAAAGAACTTGTTAGTTACAAAGAGTTAGAGCTAGTTACAGTGAAGCTACCTGGGCATGTGTGAAGCTATTCACATAAAGTTCATCTTACTGTCACTGTGACTGAGTTATTTGCATTGGTCATAATCCATGTAGTTAAATTTCTTCGCATACATTCTACTGCAAAATATATTTTCAAATGAGTATATAAAATATATCTGCATAGTTTAAAGAAGAATAATAAAGTGAATATCCATGTGCCTGCATTCTGATTAAGAAATATTACTAAGTCCTTAGAGTAGTCTAAATATTCCTACATGAGAGGTTTTGGTTTGCTTAGGTATTAGTCCAGTGCTGCTTAAATTTCGTAATGTGCATATGAATCAAATAGAGGTCTTGTTAAAATGCAGATTCTGATTCAGTACCGGGGCAGGGTCTGAGTTTCTGTTTTTCTAATAATAGTACTAGTCCGTGGACTATGTTTTAAGTAGCAAGGTTTCAGGCTGTGAAAAACCCTCACTAAGCTCCATGTGTTTAATATCATACATTCCATGTTTTCCAACTAAATGCAATAAAATTAGAATTAAAAATACCGTGTATTTGGAAATCAAATAATATGGTAGAAAATAAAACTTAGATTAGAAGGTAGTAAGAAAGTCAAAAATAATGAAGTCAGAAGTAATGATATCAGAAGACTTCCAGAAAGACATATTAAGGAAAAAAAGAGAAAAATAAAAATGACATGTATGGTGAAATGGTAAAATAAAAATAGATATAGCATATTAAAAATAACAAAAAATCAACAGTCATACACTAATAAAATTGAAAACTTAATGAAATGTGTAAATTCCTAAAAATATTCCAAGGATGGCACAGGAAGACAATATAAATTTTAACAAAATCAGTAAGTGTTTGGGAATTGAAATAGTAGTTTAAAAACCTTTTCTTCCAGAAAGCCTCGGCCCTGGATGATTTTGGAAATTTTAGTAAAATACGTATGACATAAAATTACCATTTTTAAGTGTATAGTTCAGAGGCATTATATACATTCACACTGCGGTGTTACCATGACCACCATCCATCCACAGAACTCCTTTTATTTTGCAACACTGAAACTGCTGGTTAAAAAATAACATTTCTCATTCCCCTGGCAGTCACCATTCTACTTTCAGTGTCTATGAATCTGACTATTCTAAATACATTATGTGAGTGAAAGCATATAATATTTGTCCTTTTGTGGCTGTCTTATCTTACTTAGCATTAAGTCTTCAATGTTCAGCCACAATGTAGCTTGT